ACAGGTCAACAGTTATGAAAGTAAGAAAATCCATAAATGCGCAACAGTAAAAACCCGTAAAGAAACTGATAATTCATGTGAGCAGTCACTGTACTTTTTGTTAAGTCAGATGGAAACAAACAAGGTTAATGTGTCACTGGTGAACATGTGCTGCCACAATCACTTCAGTGTGTCTTGGCTGAACTCCTGCAAATATCTGAAGTGTTGCTGAGTAACAGTGAACCTTTTGTTCATAGCAGGTGTCATTACTTGAAGCTCGGAGGCCAGTCAGAGGCTTTCATGAAAGGGTTCTTACGTACAAAACTAGTGCCAAGGAAAAAACATGTTCCAGTATATTTTCAGTCTTATATGTAGGTCATTGTCTTTGACATTATTTACTGGAGCGTCAAGCAAAACACTTGTCTTTCAGCTCAGCAGCTGACAGTACAACCATTACCAGTACTGGGTGAGTAAGAAAGATGGTGTAGGGTGCTCCATAAGCCTTGATAAATAATGTTTAAAATGAAAAAGTGGCAGAGTGGTAACTGAAAGTGAAAAAAGAAAGTTTTTAAAACTCAACAGTGATTGTTTTTCTTACAAAATGTTGTCACAAATATTTTCAGTCTTATGCAATGAACCACATGATGCCTAAAAGAAAAACTCTCCACCACCATAAAAATTCCAGTTAACAAATAATTATTACCATTCAGGGGCTGACACAAAATGTTTGCTGCCAGCAGTGCAGACACTTAATCGGCCATCATCAGGGTGTTCCTTTAACCAAGGAAGAGAAACTAATCATTAAAATATTCATATGACAGAATGGAGATTTGCACATGTGCTGCACAACTGCAACTCTTCCCCAGTTTAAAGGTTCAGTATGTGACACTGGTAGGAGAAGATTAACGCACACTGCAGATTGTCTTGTTGAGGTGCTGGCGATGGAGTAGAAAACTTGAAAAAGGAGGGAACGCTGCACACTTAGCTCCAAGTAAAAAAGGAATTTTCTTTAGTACAACGTTTCGGCACAGGGCCTTTTTCAAGTCTTAACTCACATGAGACACCAAAATGAGTGGCTGATAAAGCCTTCTGTGAGCAATCTGCTCACCTGGTGTACACACCTGGTCTGCATTTGACACTAATCACCTGCATGTTTGACAGCAGAGAAGTGAGCAAATCAGCTGATTGGAAAACTCACATCAGAGATCAAACATCACAATATACAATATTTACAAAAAAGAAGAAGAACAGATCAGCTGCACATCAACCTCTAAAAAGGCATCATTAGCAATATAAGCTGCACCTGCTCTCTGTCACTAGAGCTGACACTATTTATCTAGAGCAAAAAGTTAAAGAAAACATTTCAAATCGTCATCAACATTCAGACCATTTGGTGCCAGAGTGTTCAAATAATGTATGTAGAAATGTTCCCTCCTAGATAAGAGATTTTCTAAATGACCAGCTCTTCTGGGGAGGAACCTTCTCAGTACCTATGTACACTGCCTGGCCAAAAAAAAAAGTCGCCACCTGGATTTAACTAAGCAAATAGGTACGAGCCTCCTATTGGATAATTACTGCATGGGCGATTATCTTTCAGCTGGCAACAAGTTATTTAACCCCAACTGGTGCAATGAGTTGCTTCTCATTTCCTAAACAACCATGTCGAAAGACACATCCCGTGGTCGTGGAAAAGATGTTAGTCTGTTTGAGAAGGGTCAAATCATTGGCATGCATCAAGCAGAGAAAACATCTAAGGAGATTGCAGAAAATACTAAAATTGGGTTAAGAACTGTCCAACGCATTATTAAAAACTGGAAGGATAGTGGGGACCCATCGTCTTCGAGGAAGAAATGTGGCCGGAAAAAAATCCTCAATGATCGTGACCGGCGATCACTTAAACGTTTGGTGAGATCAAATCGAAGAAAAACAACAGTAGAACTCAGGGCTATGTTTAATAGTGAAAGTAAGAGCATTTCCACACGCACAATGCGAAGGGAACTCAAGGGATTGGGACTGAACAGCTGTGTAGCCTTAAGAAAACCACTAATCAGTGAGGCTAACTGAAAAAAAAGGCTTCAATTTGCTAGGGAGCATAAAGATTGGACTCTGGAGCAATGGAAGAAGGTCATGTGGTCTGATGAGTCCAGATTTACCCTGTTCCAGAGTGATGGGCGCATCAGGGTAAGAAGAGAGGCAGATGAAGTGATGCACCCATCATGCCTAGTGCCTACTGTACAAGCCTGTGGGGGCAGTGTTATGATCTGGGGTTGCTGCAGTTGGTCAGGTCTAGGTTCAGCAACAGTATGTGCTCAAAGAATGAGGTCAGCTGACTACCTGAATATACTGAATGACCAGGTTATTCCATCAATGGATTTTTTCTTCCCTGATGGCACGGGCATATTCCAAGATGACAATGCCAGGATTCATCGGGCTCAAATTGTGAAAGACTGGTTCAGTGAGACATCATTTTCACACATGGATTGGCCACCACAGAGTCCAGACCTTAACCCCATTGTGAATCTTTGGGATGTGCTGGAGAAGGCTTTGCGCAGCGGTCAGACTCTACCATCATCAATGCAAGATCTTGGTGAAAAATTAATGCAACACTGGATGGAAATAAATCTTGTGACATTGCAGAAGCTTATCGAAACAATGCCACAGCGAATGCGTTCCGTAATCAAAGCTAAAGGCGGTCCAACGAAATATTAGAGTGTATGACCTTTTTTTTTGGTGGTGACTTTTTTTTGGCCAGGCAGTGTATTTCAATGAAGCAATAGGATGATTAGCTTCCACAAAATGAGCAGCCACAGGATAATTAAGATTTCTGCATCTGATGGTACTACGATGCTCCGCGATGCGGGTTTTTAATTCCCTGCTTGTTTTGCCTATGTAGGCCTTACCACAAGGACAGGTAATCAGATACATCACAGATTTTGTGATGACCAAGTGGTGACCCCTCTAATGGGGATAGATTTACCAGAATGTAGATGTCTATAAGTACTACAGCAGTAAGTATAATTGCACTGAGCACAAGACCCACAGCGTCTGTTACCATGTAACCTGTGTGTGTGTGTGTGTGTGTGTGTGTGTGTGTGTGTGTGTGTGTGTGTGTGTGTGTGTGTGTTATAACCCAAGCGTCTCTGCAGTTAAGTATGCTGAAAGGTTGTAGACTCAGCAAGAATCGATTCCTTGGGGACAACAAAAGTTAGACTGTAAGAACAACACACAGATTAAAGTCCATTCATATATTTGATACATAACAGGAGCTCTGAGAGTAATTATAGCTGCTGCGCAGCGATGGGTCGGGTCTGGGCATTTTTAGGCAATTCTGAGCAACCTCTGGAACCTAAGACGGTCATGAGCTAATTGGCAAGTAGCAACTCAACAGTGGCTTCACAAATTGAGTAAGCCATTCACTGTTGTGTAGGAAAGCAGCCATCCGTGCATGGAAAGGCAGATTTGAAACCACTGTAAAAAATTCAGTTATTAAGACAAAAATCTGAAAATACACATATTGCATCTAGACAGCATGGAGATGTTGGTAATTTGTTTGTAACAATGATTGATTTGCTCCATAAGTGAAAAACTGATGTTTAAAATTGCCATTTTTACATTGACTCCAATTGTTCACATTAGAGCAAAATTCAAAATGCTGTCAAAAATTCAGTTTTTGAGATAAAATTCTGAAATTTGCCACACATCATCTACCATGACTCTAGAATTTTGTCTTTTTTTCATGAACATTGAAGATTTATTTAGCAAGAATTTGCATGTATATGTTTACAGTACCGTTTACAGTCAAACATTTTGATGCACTGTAGGCTCAATTTTTGATAAATCAAAAATCTGAGAAACATAGTTTTTGTAGGACAGTCTGAAGATGCTCTGTAGCAAGTTTGGTGTCAACTGAGCAAAAATTGTGGGAGGAGATAGGTTTAAGAAGTTTTACAGTTTTTGAAAAAAACAGAGTGATGAACTTCATAATTTTTAATAGGTTTAAATGTACAAAAGTTTCTTCAGTATTGGGGCTACAGTTTGATGAAAGTTGTGAAGTTGTAGCGCGTATGGTTGATTTGTTATGAATTTTCAAAGTTTTGAACTTTAGACGCTTGCTGTAGCGCCACCATCAGGACTACTGGCTTGAGTTTACAGCTGAGGATATCTGGCATGAGACTGGACCTTTGTGCAAAGTTTGGTGAGTTTACACCCATGGGAAGTATGATTTCCTCCATCTGCTCTCTAACAAGATCAGATGGAGAAAAGACCAGTTGACAGTGGATGTATGGATACAGCTATATGTGACAGTTCATAAACTGTGACACATGTAACATATTCATATAACCTATCAATAAAGCTGTGGGAGGTAGTAAACGGACAGTGTAGGTTTCAGTTTGCCCACGAATAAAGACTGTAGCTCCTCAAGCCTTATGAAGTGTGGGCTTTGAGTGTGATCGTGACCCACCAGTGAACAATTTGTAGCAATTTTTGAACCTTTTTATGTTTTTTACTTAGTGTAATTTTGTGGGATTAATATAATTTTTCAGGTTATGCATACCTTTTGATTTAAGACACCATAGTCTCAAGACTCAGCATATGAAACACATGATCCTCTTGATAATATATACAATATGAGCAGTATTATAGAAATAGCTGGATCATAATTTAATACAGCATTAACTCATAACCCTATAGTGCAGATTTCCCTGAAAACAAAAAAGATAGGCAGCACTTTGCTAAGATGTTTGCTTGGATAGTTCAAAAGCTCAAAGTATTAGTATGTACATTGAGCAGATTTGAAACCTGCAAGAACTGATTCTTTGGCCACTTGGGGGCAGCAACAGTCAGACTGTGTCAACAACACTCAGATTATAAAGTTTAAAACATTATAATGAAATTCTTGTGATAATGTGTGAAGACTTATTTGCCTTACTCTGAACCAGCTGCAACTGAAAATTTTAGTGAACCCAAATTTGGAACACCTAAGAACGGACTCTTTAATAATAATAACTGAGGAAACGTACTGCAGAAATACATTTTTTATTGTATAAAATGATTACATAGCATGACAATGAGAGTTCTCATGACTCCTTTTAAAGTAGATCTCAGTGTCGCACATGGGCGTCTTTATACAAAAGGACATTGTAAACATTTACAGCTACTTCTGTGCTGTATTTAAGTTCTTGAGTCACAAACATTTCCTGAATGACAGGAAGGGTTCACATCTGATATGAGTCTTAATTTGTCATTGTCCTCCACCCCTACTCACTCTTCTTCTTAGTGTTGGTGCTGCTCCTGCAACAGAGGACCTGGGCCAGAAGGACGCAGTTGAGACCGGCTGACAGTGTGTGTGACAGAGTGTCAAATGAGCTTCCTGTCTCCTACATGACAAAGTTTCAAGCAGTTAGTAAAGGCAACAATGACAGATTAGAGTAAGTGATGGGGATCATGACTCTTTTAGTGAGCCTTATCATTTAGCTCAGCTCAGAAATAATGTCTCTTCATTTAATAGCACTTTTGGCTCTTATAATTCAGCCAAATTAAGCCATGTTTTGACCTATGTCTAGTATGTGTGCACATATATGACTTAAATTTATCAATGTGATAATACTAAACCACAAAAGTTCCAGAATACCATAATTTTACTTTATGTTTGGTTTAAGAACCCTAAATAATGTAAAATAAATACATAAAACAATATTGGCACTGTACATTTCTGCAAACCACTTAAAGAGGCAACAGAGCGCATCTTTTCCTAAATATATCATTATGAAAATAATGTGGGTTGCACAGGGTAGTGTCCACAGTAAAATCAGACTATCAGCGTTTACATAGGTTATTTAGAGGCTTTGCAATCTTTGTAATGAGCTTCTGCCAACGGTGCCGAAAATTGATACCCCCCTCCCTTCCTTCTGTTCTCCTCTCACGGAGGCAGCTATCCACGGACATCGCCCAGCTAAGTTACGCCCAGCTAAGTGAACACTGGACTTTGTTTCCCATTCAATTTGAGCTCCAACCAGCCGCATGGTTTCCATACGGTAGCGTTTATTCTAGAATGGGGACTGTTGACATGTGCATATTGGTATAATTCCACTGTGTCTACTGTTGTTTGTACTGGTACTGTACATATTGGTATCATTTACTGTGAGTTGTTTGTACTGGTACTGTGCATTCTGCTATAATTATTTGCATTACTATTTGTTTTTTCTTCAGATAAATCTGATAATTGTTGCTCGGTCTCTTTACTCATTTATTTAGTAGAGTGTCCACACACCTTCTGATTCTGCATATACATAGAGGTATACTGGTGGCTTTACAGCCTACATTTGATTCATTATCTCTGATCCCATGGTCAATTTGGTCGTTGCAACAGTGCGATGCAACACCACTGACGCTAGGTGGCGCCAAGCTAAAAAAAACCCGAATCCTATCTGTTGCCTCTTTAAACACTATATTTGCATTTGTTATTATGTAGAGGATTTGTTATGTTTCAACATTGCTGTTGTTAACATGTTACATTTGGGTACAAACACCACTTGGTTATGGTTGGAAACGGTCATTTTTTTGGCTTACACACCCTGATTTGGGGGCACAATCCCCACTGGAAACACAGCAATGCCTCACTATAAAACAACTGCTTTACATGGCACTATCCCTGCTGGAAAAACAACAATGGGTCACTACAAAACACCCATGTTTGTTGCCTAAAAAGCTGCTAGAAACACAGCAATGACTCGCTAAATCACAACCAGTTTTGTCATTTGCTGGTCTCGAACAGTGGTCTGCAGCTTGGCAGGCGTCTCACCTTGGTGTCACACCATCCACTATCCCTTACCCCTCCCGATGACAAAGTCAGCTCATATACTACGTCACTTTAGAAACAGTGATAAGATATGTATGAAACTGCGTACCTGTAGAGACACAAAGTAAACTCCCAGCGATCCTGCCCACGACAGTAACACAGACAGAGTGGACAGTTGTCCTGTGTGGCCGTTTTTGTAGTTGGTTCCAGCCTGGAGACCCTGGAAACAACAAATCCAGCAAATGAATCCACTCTCTTCTGATAAGTCTGCACTGTGTATAAGACAAGATTAGCCACTGAGATTCTACCTTGCTTGCAATTAAAGCTGCCAGACTGGAGGCCTGCATCACTGAGGCAACTGCTGCAGCTGCGTAGGAGCCCAAAAGGAACATGACGGCCCCATAAGCCAAGAGGAACAGCGCTCCTGCCACATACACATAAAACAGTGTGATATAGGATGGGAGAGACTTACTGCACAAGGAAAAACACCTCATGAGAAAACAACTGTTATCAAGAATTTTCATGCTGATGCCATTTATTAATTCAATAGTTATGTAACAAAATTCATAACTGACTATTTAAAAAAGATGTAACTTTGCAAATGCAAACAGCTCTCCATCAGTGTGTAAGGTCTCCGTGAGAGGGATTTAATACCAGAGTCCACACAAGCTTTAAATTGGTCTGTTTGCAGACCTCTGAATTATCTGTGATGTGTTTTGGTTACTCAGATATGATTTGCTCCATACAGGATATTCTGGGCCTTTCAAAGGTACTTCTTGAACATTAAAAATACACAGAGGTGATTAATTATACTCAGACCTCAAAAGGCTGGTGTGCAAAAGTTGATGTCATAAATTTGCAATGTTAATTCTTATTTAATTACTACACAGTTTCTTCATTTGTGCTTTGTACGTCGGTTTATTTTGAACAAAACAGGTTGAAACCTATTTCAACACTTAAAGGAGCAGTGTGTAGGATTTAGTGGCACCCTGCAGTGAGGATTGCAGATTGCAACCAGCTGAATTTCTCTTTATGTGCCAGGTGTGAACTCCTGGTTAGGATTTCTTCAGCATTCATTGCTCAGGAGGTTTTTACCCCACAGAGGTCTCTTCCTCTCCATTACAAACGGACCTTGTGATTCAAACTGGTAAAAACACTGAAAAAAGCAGTTCCATGTTGCAAATCAGTGTTTCTCCGATGCTGTTCCACTTGTCGCAGACCAGCCATTAGCCCAGCACCTGCTAATGTGAGCTCACTTTTTCTCTGATAACTTAAGATCCAGACATTCAGGAGGTTTCTACTGGGAGCTGAATTATCCACAGAGGTCTCCTCCTCCGAAACAAACAAACCTGGTGATCTAAATTGTAAAATCACTGAAAACTAGTCCATACCCATTGAGTGCACAGTTGCCCACACACAGTTTCACATGGTGTGTGTTTGGGATACAGGTCATAGGAAATTGCAGATTAAATAGTCAACTGAACCCATTAAGAAGAGCAATGTATTCAAACAGAGCTTTGGTGAATTTGATGGTACGATTGCTTTATTGAAAGTACAGTAGTACCATTGCCAATAGAGGGCTAGTTAGTGGACTGAAACTGTACATTAGTAGTTGAGGTAGAAACATTCGGCTTACATGGGGAGCCACAGTGATCGGTCGCATTTTAGCCATTTTGAAGCATTTTTCTGTTGTTATAGCGCCACCCAGTTGCCAATTAGAGTTAAATTTCTCCAGTCACCTTGAGGCGTCCTGTTCTACATATCTACCAAGTTTAGTAAAAATCCATATGGCGGTTAGGCCTAGATAAGAAATGAGCTCTCTAGCGCCCCCATTTTGTTTGATGGGGTCAATAATGGAGGGGTCCCCTCAGATTATGTGTGGTCATATGCCTACAAAGTTGCGTGGTGATGGGTGAAACCCTTGAGATGTTATACACCTTTATGTGATGAGCCACGCCCTCCGCAATATTCATTGCCTTATAGAAGCTCAGTTTTAGTAAGTTTTCCAACTTTTGCCAAGAGGGAACTTTAGATATTGGTCCCTAGATTATGTTCACCCAGTTTCATGCAGATCGCTCAAACTTCCTAGGAAGAGATCCATTTGAAGTGTTTTTCAAAAAATTCAAAATGGCGGAAAATCTATATAAGCGGAAGTTATGGGTTCTTGAGGCAAATGTGTTCCTCATGAGGAGAGGCATCTCTGTGCAAAGTTTCATGTCTCTACGACATACGGGGCATGAGATATGCCCATTCAAAGTTTGCAATTTCAATCGGTTGCTATAGCGCCCCCCTTTGGCCAATTGATGTAATATTGCTTCATTGACATCCTCCCATGACCCTCTACCACTGTGCCAAATTTCACATGGATTGACCAAGTCAGTGAGGAGAAAAACTTGGAACACACACACAGAGTTTTCGTCATTATATAGTAAGATAGAAGTTTTACATAAGATATCTGTGTTTTTCCAATGCTGTTTGGCTTGTTGCGGAGGGGTGGCCGATTCAGACATGCAAAGACAAATAGCCCCATCTAGAGTTCTAGTAGAACATGAGCCAGTGTTGGTTTGTCTGTTCTGGGCTACTGTAGAAACACTGTGGTGCAACATGGTGGACTCCATGGACAAAGACCTGCTCCCTCTGTAGATATAAATGGCTCCTTTTTTGGTAACGAAAACACAAAAATTCTTACACACTAAAGAACACATACTTATCATATTCTATTCCTGCCAACATATCCCCTTAAATCCTACACACTGGACCTTTAATGCTTTCTAAATATAGTTACAGTACTGACATGCACCAGATGTTTTTTTGGCAGGTGAAGTGTTCACTTGAACACTGGTGCATTGTAACTGTTTTTAATGATTTACATCCTCAGTAGGAATGAAAGGGCTTGGTTCTGAGAGCCACAGAAAGGAGGAGGGATGTCAAAATCATTAGAGATAGATTAACACATTGATTCTTTGGGTCTCGCTAACAATAAGAAAAGTATAAAATAACGCCAGGATTATCCCTAAAGTATGTATATAACTTGGAATGTGACTCTGGAAAATGTGCAGGTATGTGTGCTGACCTTTGAAGGTTTCACCACGATAATGCAGGATGAGGAAGATGATAGCTGCGGTCTGGATCAACGTGATGAGCCTCTCACCCCAGGCACTGTGGAGCAGGAAAACATAGCAAAGCACACATCTATGATAACAGAAACATACACTGGGCTGCAAAACTGAAACATACTCTCTACTCAGAGAGACATAATTCTGTGCAGAGTATGCCCATCAATGACCCCACAGTTAAACTTGACAGAACTTGCTCTGAGGTGTGTGGGCTACATTTTTTAGACGTTGATTGAGTTGATGTCAACAGTGCACACCCAGGGGCTCGACCAAACAGCCAATGAGTCACACATTCCCTGGGAAAAAATGTACTGTAAGCTTGAACATGTTATTAGGAGTGGTATTGGTTTCCAGCAACTTCTGTTGAGGACACTGGGGTGTCTAGAGTTCACACTGGTGTAAAAACAAGGCAGTCACTTTCTATGTCACACACCAAGAAGTGCTGGGAGGTTTGCAACATGATTAGGGAACTTATTTGTCATCATTCAATACGTACAAGGGTGGGAAGTTGTTGGCCACAGCGTACACAACAGGACATGAAAAGGCATAAAGCTGCAGGAGAGCGGAGGTCAGACTCAGGCCTTCTGCACTTCCTCTCCATAGTATCTTCAACAGCTGAGGGAGCTGTGCTGTAGGGAGGATTGAAGAAATACAAGTAATGTGTTTTGGTGGTTTTAAACAGATTAGCAATCAATATGTAGCTTGCACAATAAAGAGTTAAACAATGAGGAAACAAAACTTTTTAAAGGTCCCATTTTATACAAGGCCAGATTCCCATGTCTTTTTTATATAAAGCAGGTATAGGTGCTACATAAAAACTGTGTGAGTATCAAAATACAGAGAAATGCACACAGTCCATATTCAAAAACTGTCTTTAAACAAGTCGTCAGGACTTATGTGAAGTTGTGATGTCACAACTTTACTATATAGATTGTTTAAAACTTGATAAACACTCTACATGGATCCCTTTGTATTTCCTGTTGGACTGTTTTGCAGTGTAAGTGAATGACATCAGCTGACAGGAAGTAAGCATGGACCCAAGCTGTTTCCTAGCAATGCAATTCCAGTGAAACTGTCTACAGACTGAACCCCTGTGACGCTGTGCCAACTGCAACAGTCACTTCTGGGTTAGATGACTGGCAATTGTAGAGATATGTGAAATTGCCAAACTTGTTGATTTCTGCTGTCATTTTCAGGTGTAACTGTAACGTTCAAAGACATATACAGTACAGGCCAAAAGTTTGGACACACCTTCTCATTCAATGCGTTTTCTTTATTTTCATGACTATTTACATTGTAGATTCTCACTGAAGGCATCAAAACTATGAATGAACACATGTGGAGTTATGTACTTAACAAAAAAAGGTGAAATAACTGAAAACATGTTTTATATTCTAGTTTCTTCAAAATAGCCACCCTTTGCTCTGATTACTGCTTTGCACACTCTTGGCATTCTCTCCATGAGCTTCAAGAGGTAGTCACCTGAAATGGTTTCCACTTCACAGGTGTGCCTTATCAGGGTTAATTAGTGGAATTTCTTGCTTTATCAATGGGGTTGGGACCATCAGTTGTGTTGTGCAGAAGTCAGGTTAATACACAGCCGACAGCCCTATTGGACAACTGTTAAAATTCATATTATGGCAAGAACCAATCAGCTAACTAAAGAAAAACGAGTGGCCATCATTACTTTAAGAAATGAAGGTCAGTCAGTCCGGAAAATTGCAAAAACTTTAAATGTGTCCCCAAGTGGAGTCGCAAAAACCATCAAGCGCTACAACGAAACTGGCACACATGAGGACCGACCCAGGAAAGGAAGACCAAGAGTCACCTCTGCTTCTGAGGATAAGTTCATCCGAGTCACCAGCCTCAGAAATCGCAAGTTAACAGCAGCTCAGATCAGAGACCAGATGAATGCCACACAGAGTTCTAGCAGCAGACCCATCTCTAGAACAACTGTTAAGAGGAGACTGCGCCAATCAGGCCTTCATGGTCAAATAGCTGCTAGGAAACCACTGCTAAGGAGAGGCAACAAGCAGAAGAGATTTGTTTGGGCCAAGAAACACAAGGAATGGACATTAGACCAGTGGAAATCTGTGCTTTGGTCTGATGAGTCCAAATTTGAGATCTTTGGTTCCAACCGCCGTGTCTTTGTGAGACGCAGAAAAGGTGAACGGATGGATTCCACATGCCTGGTTCCCACTGTGAAGCATGGAGGAGGAGGTGTGATGGTGTGGGGGTGTTTTGCTGGTGACACTGTTGGGGATTTATTCAAAATTGAAGGCACACTGAACCAGCATGGCTACCACAGCATCCTGCAGCGACATGCCATCCCATCCGGTTTGCGTTTAGTTGGACGATCATTTATTTTTCAACAGGACAATGACCCCAAACACACCTCCAGGCTGTGTAAGGGCTATTTGACCAAGAAGGAGAGTGATGGAGTGCTGCGGCAGATGACCTGGCCTCCACAGTCACCGGACCTGAACCCAATCGAGATGGTTTGGGGTGAGCTGGACCGCAGAGTGAAGGCAAAGGGGCCAACAAGTGCTAAACACCTCTGGGAACTCCTTCAAGACTGTTGGAAAACCATTTCAGGTGACTACCTCTTGAAGCTCATGGAGAGAATGCCAAGAGTGTGCAAAGCAGTAATCAGAGCAAAGGGTGGCTATTTTGAAGAAACTAGAATATAAAACATGTTTTCAGTTATTTCACCTTTTTTTGTTAAGTACATAACTCCACATGTGTTCATTCATAGTTTTGATGCCTTCAGTGAGAATCTACAATGTAAATAGTCATGAAAATAAAGAAAACGCATTGAATGAGAAGGTGTGTCCAAACTTTTGGCCTGTACTGTAGTTAAACATGTTGGTATGACCTGTGTGACGTGTCTGCTGTGTTTATTTTATCTACCTTGTTGCTTTGCTATAATCGTTGATAAACCAAATCTAAAAGCATGGAAACTTAACAATGTACTGCTGTGGAGAGGACTGCAGAAAAATATATTTTAGCCACCTATTAATCTGTGTAAGTGTACGATTTATTTGAATATTTGCTCTGCATCTGTCGAACAACAAGGTAAGGCAGATAATATTCTAAATATAGCGTACACTTAAACTAATATATCATTTTTAGTGGGCCTTTTTTTAGGTGGCTATAAACTAGCTAACTGAGGCAACAGTTTGCTTTAATGTACACGACGTGCAGGTTTTCTGCCCGCAAGTTATTGTAAAAAACATTGTGATTCAGTTTATGAAGACAGGAAGTGCCGCTACAGTGCCATTCTGGTCATGTCCCCGCATGCAACAGATGTAAAGCCTAGTTCACATTACACGATTTTCACAGTGATTTTGACGTCGCAGAGGATCTTGAGAGCCACCTTGGGTTGGAGGTGAGTCAGCAGATAGTCTGCCACGACGTAGTCTCGCCACCAGACAATCAGAGATCACTGGCCTCTGATAGTCTGGGGACACTCCTTTCTAAAGTGTGTTTAACACACTGGAGAAAACGACCGGCAACAAAGCAACGCCTCTTGTATTTTTTAAAAGGACACGCCCCCCCGGAAATGTGCGCTCCCCCTTTTCTCGTCCGCAAGGAAACAAACACACAGAGAGTTTGAAAATGGATGCCGAGAGATTTAACTCCGTTTTATCAAACGTGTGCTCAGTCCACAAGATTGTGGAAATGAAGGACTTACAGTGACTTTGTTTAAATTTTTTAACGCAGTCGGACTATGTTTACTAGCACAAGAGTTCAGCGAGCCACCAAAGGACTGCCCTGCAGATTTACTATTGGTTCTGCATCGTAGGGAGTTTTTTTAAACTCTGAAATTGTATCCGCCCATCTAAACACAAAATCAGGGAGAAAGACGTCAGTCTTTAGTTAAGCAAAGCGTCTATAGACTGACTTGTGAGTCTAGCCACGACGAGTCCTCGTGTGAACAAGCTTACGAGCAAGTCGCCCCCTCGTCTGGGACTGGGACTGGATATCTGGCATGCTAGAAAACTGGAGAAGTGTGACACGACTGACAAAGAGCACCAGCCAATGAGAGGCGGGATACGTCCCACATCAGCACGCAGGAGGACGGAAGAAATGTGAGGAGGACAAGCTGCTGGGTTGCCAGGTCCGCTTATTAGCTGCGACTTTGGGCTTGTTTCTAAAGTGGAGTTGCTTATGTGGGCTTGCTCTCTAAATATCACCTTCCTCTATATATATCTGTCTAATAACTTATTTAAACGCATGATAGTCGCTTCTGTTGGGCTTGTTTCCATAGCCCTGGTTGCTTGTTTCTCTCCCAAGATCTGGCAACATTGACAAGCCGGCAAGCAACAACAACAATGGCGGCGTCCACAGGATCACGGGGAGCACGTTGTGTTTGTACCCAGGATAATAAAGAATATCCATGCCTTTACGATGTGTCGTCTCCAAGTTAAAAAAGTTTGGTGACGTCACCGCATTACCTGGGGCTCTGTCGGCGAGGGCTCAGTGGAGAAATCTTGTGGTGTGCACACACAGGTTCTAACACAGTTGGCGAGACTCCCGCTGACAGAAACGCACGTCGCCAGGTATGAACGCTCAAAAGATTACGATAGTCTCCGCGATGCAAAATCAGGGTGAATATCGCGTAATGTGAAATAGGCTTAAAAGACCCGGAAACACTGGCCAATCAGAGCAGACTGGGCTTTTTCAGGAGAGGGGCTTAAAGAGACAGGCGATAAAACAGAGCATTCCAGACAGAGGGTGAACACAGGTATATTCAGGCAGATGGTATGGGGAAAATAAAGTGTTTTTTAAACATTTAAGCATGTAAACATGTTGTGGTAGAAAACCAAAATACAAATATGAACCTGAAAATAAGCACAATATGGGACCTTTAATATCCATATAAAACTGCATTGTCTTCTTCAGTGTATGTTGGCATTAGTCCCACTGAAATGTCTGTACTTCTACATAGGCAGTTTTGTGACATCATCTCAAGGCCTGATGTCATGGTTATCTACACTGGTACAACAGTGAGTGTTACAGCAGTTTACCAGAGCTCTTGAAGCTTGTCAAGGGAATCTGAATCCTAATGTGATCAATTTGATCATTGTGTTGTACTGAGATCCAATCAGCTGTTTGTCACGTGATTAAATCAGATTCACCAGGTTTATGCAGAGGAGAAGTCTTACCCAGGAAAGTGTCCAGTATGATCCAAAATCCAGCAATTCTGTTCAGTATAAACTTTAGGCAAGGCGCTGCGACAGAGGAGACACACATTAAAACAAGCAGATAGAGCAGATGTTCCACGCTGCCGGCTGATAACACAGTGAGGGGACATTTGCGTATTTAAAACATGATTTTGTGAACAGAAAGATGTAACATATAATATCATAGTTCTAGGTTACAAAATAAAAAAGTTAACAACGTTGAGCAATACGTGGGAGAAGCAACACAACGCCCCCTCCTCCTCCTCCTCCTCCACATCTGGAAGGATCTACCGCAACATTTGACGCGCTAACTTCACCAGAAACGTCACTACGACGGGCCTCACCGTTAAACTGGAAGCTGACGAAAATCCTCTCGTAACATTTCTCTGGCATTAAATAGGTAACCAGGAAGTCTTTGACGGGAGACGTGGCCATGGTGGGTCAGCTGCAGCCGGAGTGCTCCTCAGTAACAGGGGGAGTGGTTCAAAGGTGGCCCGATACTTGCAGCCGGAGAGGACACAGAGCCCGGACACTGTTATCTCTGAGGGTCACCGTGGATACATGTGGGCCGGAAGTCCACGGTTTCATCACAGAAGGAGACAACCTAGCCTCTTGAGTTCTGTTAATAAAAAACAAAACTATTTCGCTGTTTTTTTAACATCTTCCATAACACCCACAGCCTCCACATCTGGAGAGATTTCCCAACTATTTTGACACCCAAACTTCTCAATAGTTCTACTGTTCTCTCACCATGCGTTAAGTTGATTACTAACATTTTTATCTGGCATTGAGTAAGTAAACAGGGACTCTTTATAGGAGAAAGAGAGAAATATACACACACACACACACACAGAGGTCGAGGTTTCCATGTTGTCATGAGCTTTTATCTTGACAAGTGTGGAGACAAGTTAAATAAAAAGTTATTTTAGTCCTTGATCACCTCTAAATGTAATATCTGAATTCAGAAGAGATGTGTTAAAATATTTAGACACTTACAGTGAGTTAAATGAGGCATAGGCCTGCAGTATACAGCATACAGATTAACAGTAGGGGAGACTAGGGATGGTTGGAACAGTTTTGATGTCTCTCTGTTTACCTTGGTGCTCTTTTAAGTCAGTGTGTTCAAAATGTAATACTTACTATAGTTACATGTGTCTGCTATTAAATGGTGAAGCTGCTGAATGCATGGTTAATAAGGTACAGGTCTACAGTCTGCAGATTTTTCTTCCTACTCAAATAAAGCTGGATTAAAACTACTTCAACAGCTGCAATTTCCACAAAAGCAAGACTTTAAGTACATGTTACCAAGCACATGTAAGTCTTATTAATTACACCTCCCACACCAGTTCACCTCTACTGGTGGGTCTTCACTGAAAACAGGAAGGATTTGAGCAGAAATGAGAGGTTGTACAGCAGTTATCACTCTGACAACATGTGTACTGGAAAACACTCCCGTTGTACTGCTGTTACTCTGTACACATTGGTGCTTGTATCCATCATCTGTGACATAGTGTTGCTCTTTCCTGGATGGGACGTCAGGTATGCCAGAGATGGACACATCACTGAGGAGGTGACTGAAGCCCTTTTTAGACAGGAATTGTGCAAATTTGCAGGAAAGCCCAATCAGTCTTTTTTCAGCATTGGCAGTATAAAAACAAAATCAGGGAGTGCAGCAAAATGCCGCCTACCTACTTTTGTTTATACAGAATGTGCCTTTTTCGGGGCAATGGGGGGCATGAGCAAGTAACAAAACGTGTAGCTCAGCGTGTGATGTAAACAGTGACGTGGGAGGGAAGCCGCGGCTGGTCAGTCCTTCGGCGATTCTCTCGTAAGTCGGCCTGTTCTTCACCGTCCCCGTCATCTGACGGTTAATGGCCTCTTTGTTTGCGAGGACAAGGAGGGTGCGCAATTCCTTGTCTCCCCAGTTGCTCTTCTTTACAGTGTCTGTCAGGTTTGTGTTTCCCTCTTGCTACTAGCTGCTCGCTAATTCCTGCTATCAGCTGTTTCCTGTTTATCCACCGCCAGTGGGTCGCACGTGCGGCGTCATCAACAGCTCCTCCTGTTGCGGAAGGGCGCCTTGTTCTCTTTAAACCAAAAAGCCTCCGCCAATATGTCTACCCTACGAGGTGGAAAATTGGGCACCTCAGATCAACTCGCCAATCTGGCTCTGTGTGTCTAAACGCTCACAGCTTGCCGGCAAAACAGCCAAACATTTGCCGAAAATCTGGCAGTGTAAAAGGGACTTTTTGTTTAACCAGAAACAGCCCCGACATCGCATTCGCCAAACCCACCAGACTCCATTTAAATACACTGTAATTTCAGTGTGTACAGAGCCAGCATATTTTTTAAATCTGAGTGAATTAAAGGTTTATTTTCACCAAACCAAAGTTGGTGATTGTTTGAACAGTGAACAGGTGGAGCAGGAGGGCTTCTGTGAGTTTTATTTTGCTTCTCTTGCCTTTGCATGAGGTGTGTTTTATAATGATAAAAGTAATGTTCATTTAAACAAACTCTGGTTGGTCTGGTGATATCAATTTCATGGCTGTTTCTGGTTCCAGTCTCTGTAGAAATCCTTTCTCTAATGTTGTCAGACACTTATAATAACAATCATTTCATCCCCACACAGGTCGATGCAGAATTCAGTATCTATTTATGTGTTACTCATTCATTTCCTTGTGAATAAAAGGAAATCCACTCCCAGATGGGACCTTTTCCAAGCATTGTATCACACAGACTCATGCAGTTGCGTTTCCTCTTCTTAATATCCTCATCACAGCATGTTTAAATAAGGAACCTGAGATACACATGAAATTAGAAGGCGTGATCTTTAACTTACTCTGGTTGTAAATCTGCTGTAAGTGATGGCGGTTGCGTACTGTATTAAATAACGGATGTAAACAGTACACAACCGTTATCACTAAGGAGGAGCACTGCCTCACATGACTGTTACTCGGAGACAGCGTGTTTTGGAAAACATGGCCTCCTCTTCTCTCTGTCTCTCTCGTCATAATTTCACATTTTCTTTCAATACACTGATAAAATGTGGACACAACCGCAGTCAGCAGCTCACTAGAGGAACTGGAAAATGTCGCCTGTCCTGCCTGTGTTTAACTGCCTACAGTGTTGTCATTTATCAGTGTTTTGCAGGTGATGTCAATGACACATTGTTCTTGCTTTGCTAAGCATGCCGCCACAGGTCTAAAGTCCAACCGCGCTGTGATCCTGGAGGCACAGTGTCAATACATCACCTAAATGCTGCATGCAAATAGTGGAGCTGAAGCATGTCTCTCACAGTAGACCTCTGCTTGCTCACAACCCTCAAAGGAAACCCCAGAAGCTTTAAATATATTACAGCAACAAACAAGAAATTAAGATACTTTTGATACTTAAGTACATTTTGTCTCTTTTACTTAAGTAAAAATGTTGAATTCTTCCACCACTTACAGTATGCAACAGTGGTGTGACCATCAATACTTCCTCTGACTCAGATGACCTTAATGCATTCACATCCTCAACTAAAATATGTGCATCTACTAATTACCTAACTCAATAAAAACCAGCGTTGTCTCTCAAAGTAACCATGGAATGAGTCATATAAAGGTCTGTGGCCTATCCCAGCCTCTGTTTGTCCAAGCTATCAGCTTGTTACTACACCTCCCACACCCTAACATCACTGACTGTTTAGTTTCTGCCACCAGTCTAAATACATTTCCCTCTGTGGGTTAGTTTCAGAAAGAACGTCTCAAGAACAGGAAGCACTTGAGCACGAGCTTTCTGAACAAGAGGCTGTGCAGCAGTTAGTTTTGACTCTGACAACATGTGTACTGGAAAATGCTCCCGTTGCATTGCCGTTACTCTGTACCCGTTAGCACTCATATCCATCATCTGTAACATAGTGCTGTTCTTTCCTGGTGGGGACATCAAGTATGCCAAAGATGGACACATTACCGAGGAGGTGAAATACATGGGGGGACTCGTTGGAGGGGGTTTAATGGTGAGTAGTTTTACCTCTAGCCTGTTACAGAAGGGTGTGACTCTGAACTACACGCTGCTGTAAATTCCTTTCTAAAAATGTGTGTAGCCTCAGAGAAATGTAAGTTAGATATGTTAGGTAGAGCTTTTCTGACTTAAGACTGACTTCTGAAGTGTTTCCTGTCTTTTAACATATTCTACAAGCTTTGAGTTATCAAGGTTAAGTGAAAATGTGGAATTCTTTTAATTAAATTGACCTGAATATTGAAGAATGTCAACTCATGTTGCCCGACACAGGTGTTGGTCCCAGCACTCTATATCCACATGACTGGAAAACAGGGGTGCTGCGGGAATCGCTGTGGGGTGAGTCAGTCATGATTACAAATGAAATGTTTCCGGTGCTCAGTGGAAGATAAGGGCTGGCTTAACAATAACATCTACACGCTAAATTATCCATGTTTGCAGACAGTTGCAACAGTTAAACACTTTATAAATCAGTAGAAATAATTTTTAAAAACTGATGGAAAAGCCACAACAGTATCATAATTAGTAACACATTAAATGAAGACTGAAAAAAATGTCATTCAGGCTTTTAATAGAGTTAATGAATTACTAAATAAAAAAGCTTATTATGCCGCATTGTGCGTCACTAAACCATTGCACAACACCTAGTTCATCTTTAGACAGATAAGATGTACATTATGAAACCATAAGAACATCCTATCTCTCACCTTGAGCCAAAAAGAATATTGAAACGTTCAAGATGTGCAAAGAGCTTATTGAAATGTGTTAAACTGTCAATATTTACTGATAAAAATTCTGTTTCCTGTTAATGAGTTTTTCTAAGGTTGTTCACAGCGACATTATCCGATGAGGCAAGTGGGTGCAGTGTATCAATAGTGCGGTAAATAAAGTGTGGATCTGTGTATAAACAATATCACCAGGCAGGCTGATGAGAAACATGCCCCAGCAGATTTGGTTTAGTCTGTAGTTTATCTTGTTAGTGTTGGGAAAAACAGAGGAATGGATGAAATGTGAGGAATGTGGGGCAACACAAATGTTGAGCCTGTTCCTTCTGAAACTCACAAGTATCTCATTTATCAACAGGAAGATAAATATGTGGAGGAGGAGGAGGGTGAGCATGGGGAAGGAACTCAGTATGAATTTCTCTGACCTCTGCTTATCATTTACCTCCTGCAGATGTTCTTATCAATTGCATTTGCTGCAGTGGGTGTGGCTGGTGCCCTGTACAGTTTCATTGTGGCAGTGCTGGGTTTGCAGAATGGGCCCCTCTGCAAAGTTATTCTGATTTGGCAGACACCTTTTAAGGACAGGTGACATGACGGAGTAACTTTCTGATGGCATTTGTTAACCTTTTAAGGTCCCGATTACTCACAAACCAATTCTTTTGCACAGAGACCACAGTTACCTGACTGAAGACAAATGGTGGGGAATGTGCACGGAGCCAAAGGACATTGTGCAGTTCAACATTGGTTTGTTTGCTACTCTGCTGGTCACAAGCAGTCTGCAGCTGATTCTCTGTGCCATTCAGATGATCAACGGGCTCG